CATTTTTGTATAATTTCTTATAGCATGTAGTATGCCGGATGTTGTATTAGGAGTATTAACAGTTATGGTGTCTGTAATCACAATGAGATTACAATACAAAATATAATTATATATTAGTGAGACAACAATTGTATAGAAAATAAATGAAACGATTACATCAACTCTGCTTTAGTGACTGCAGTAAATACTTAGCAGTACTGTATAGTATAAACATTGTATAGAAAAGCATAGTTAAAGAAATCTTTTGATATATGAGTGTATAATATACAAAAAGATCAATCGATAAATAAAAATGAATGACTATTGATAAATAATTTTACATTGAAAGCATAGTTTACTCATTCAAACTAATAAAAGTTTTCAAACTTAGCTTACATTTCATTTTTGTATAATTTCTTATAGCATGTAGTATGCCGGATGTTGTATTAGGAGTATTAACAGTTATGGTGTCTGTAATCACAATGAGATTACAATACAAAATATAATTATATATTAGTGAGACAACAGTTGTATAGAAAATAAATGAAACGATTACATCAACTCTGCTTTAGTGACTGCAGTAAATACTTAGCAGTACTGTATAGTATAAACATTGTATAGAAAAGCATAGTTAAAGAAATCTTTTGATATATTTATATTTTTATATTTCTAATACAAATATATCCTACTTGAGCTAGCTGTAATAATCGTGGGTTTCATGGTTGTGGTCATATTGGACTTCATTGCTCTCGTAGTCATTGTGGTATTTGATTTTGAAGTGCCATTCCTGGGAGTACTCATATTCTGTGCCTAACAAAACAATAAGAATTATGCAAATTCTGTACAGAATTCTGGTAGAAATACATACCGGGATCATAGTGGTCGAGCTCGTATCCATTGCCATACCTGTTGTCATAGTTGTCTAATAAATGTAAGGAATTGTGACACAAATTCTGTACCAAATTAATTGTCATAAATACCGTGGTCATAGTTGTCAAGTTAGGCGAGCAACTCATACATGTTATCAGGCTGAAAAGTATAAAGTTGACAAACATACAGACCATTATTTTAGTCATAATTTGTGACTTAAATGTAATGAACTTTATTTTGGTAAAAGACTCGACAAAATTAAATTCACGACTAATTTGATTCAATACTTAAACGACTTATTACTTAAGATATTGTGAGATGTTTTCGTCACATATCAATGATTGTGCAAATAATTAGCTATTTATTTGTCTGTAATTCTGATTACTTTCACAACATCTGATGATTTCATAGATATTTCCACTTTTTGTTTGCAATGAAGTTTGATTGCAATGATTTTTATATAAATTCATTTCTCATATGATTCTGCATTTTATATAAGGATTTACGTAAACATAATATAAGAATAAATTAATTTGCTAACATTTCAATACTTACTTGTTAGCAAAATACTATTAATTAATTATTCGCATTATATTAAATACCGTATAATACCTATTGTGTTTTACTACTTACTGCGATAATAATTTTATAATAGCTAAATTTAATGTAAATGAAATTTATACATTTAAATAAATTTCACTTATTTCTGAATAATTTAGCCATGTACTTTAAATTAATAAATTCATTTTAAAGTTAATTGATTGCATTTTTATTTTATTTTAAAGTCATTTTAATTTTCTATTCAATCATTATTTTTAACAGATACCTTTTTCATTGTAGTAATATTAAACATTTAAATAATTTGTTAAACCTAAAATTGTTTGAAAGGTTATGTTAATTAATAAAAACAATTAATAGGAATGTACAGTATGTGACCATAAATAATTATATTATTGATTGCATTCAAATGTACAAATATGTCGACAGAATATATCGATATATAAGATAATAATGTCTCATAAGTTTGCAGATGTATTATAAATAGTAATTTACTTATTTTGTTATAAAAGATTTTAATTAAGAATCCTGTTCATTTAATATAACCTAATTGACTTATTTGTTGTTTCACTCTAACATTAACATTTATTTTTTTCACAACACTAAATAAGTACCAAAATAAGATAATTATAATAATTATTAAGATAGTAATTATAAAATCAATTCGTGAACAAAAGGTCTGAAAATAAACTCAAATGCAATAGAAATATGAAAATACTATTTATTATTATGATTTATAAGTAATACTACAATTATAACTTATATACGTATTTTGTATAGTAGTGTAAAAATATATTTTTCAACAAAAGACATTTATACATAATTTAAAGATTAATGACTAATATAATAAGATTAATTAATTATATTATTATATTACATTATATTATAATACTGTATATAATAAGATTGATAAGATAATTACTATGAAGCAATTGTTTTGCAGTAATTGGTGTCACATATCTGTGCACTCATTTAAAATTAATATTAACTTCAAAACAGTCTTAAAAATTATCGTAACATTACTGTGTGTTTCAGGTTTCTTATACCAGACCTCCAAACTAATCACACAATACATTAGCGGCCGAACTATAGTCAACATCAGGTTTGGTAGACTACATGACGAGCCCCTACCGGCCTTCACGATATGCTACCCGTCCTATATGTCCATCGAGAAGGTCTCCACTATGGACG